TTGCTGGCATCGGTGTATCTTGCAGCGGGTATGGTGGCTGCATGACATTATTTTGCATCATGAAGTTGACCACTGACTGTAGGTCTGCCAGCTTGTTCGCCAAGTCTTTTACTTCCTCATCCCTTCGTAAGCACCTATCCCTCCAGACCTTTTCTTCTTCTTCGGCTAATCCTGAACCGAGAAGAAAGAAACGTTCTTCGTTGCCCTCCTGGACTAGGATTTTCTTTAGTGTCTCTTCACTCTTTTCGGTTGGTTCCTCGTAAGATCCAGTAGAGACCTCCGTGTCCTCGTCTTCAATCTCTGCCTCTTTTGGCTCTCGAATGTTGCAAGTGGACTTTGTTGCTGCCATGGAGCAACTTTTTGCCTGCAGTTGATCTCCTCTGACTTCTTCAATTCCATGCTCTGTGGGGAACCGTAGTAGTTGATGCAATGTTGAGGGAACTGCCCCCATCGCATGCAACCATGGTCTTCCCAAGATGATGTTATATGGTGAGGGTGTGTCAATTACCATAAATTCTGTTTTGATCTTCTTAGTACCAGCTTGTACTTCCACGCTTGCTGCGCCCAGTGGCCATGTTGGCGTTCCATTGAAGCCGACCATAAGGTTGTTGGATTGTTCCAGGTCATCAGGATGAAGGCCCAGCTCCTTGTAACATCTAATATACATGATGTCACAAGAGCTGCCTTGATCTATTAGGATGCGTTTTACTTGGTATTCCTCAACTTGGAAGGATACTACCAAGGCATCATTATGCGGATGCTGGACCATCTCTAGGTCGACTTCGGTGAAGGTTATCATTGGTCCTTGGCTTTCTTAAGGCTGAGATCTTTTTTCCCCGATTTGGTAGACATGTTGTAAATGCCTTACCCTCTGGGTTTCTCCTCTGACTTCGTTCTCATTGACCCTTGAGTGGATCACATTAACCACCCTTGGCCCTCCTGCCTGTGGTTGCTGTGCTGGAGGTGGTGGAGCTGCTGGTGCTTGAGGCAATCTTGCCTGTTCTTCTCTTGTCTTGGCTTCATCAATAAGGTCCCTCAGATGGCCTTGTCTTACCAAATCTTCTAAGTGTGCTTTTAGGGCTCTGCAACCCTGAGTTGGGTGCCCTTCTTTATTGTGGTAAGCACAACGGCTACCAACATTTCTTCCCACGAATTCCCCTGGTGTTCTTACTGGAGTTCTGAAATAGGGTTGGTTTCGTATTTAGTCCAAGACTTTATGGATAGGGATTCGGAACACCGTTGTCACTGCCTGTTTACCCTTCAACTCTGTTTCTTGTTTGGTCAGTCCATTGTTACCTCGGCCTCGCTTCGGTGAGCTGTTTCCTTTTTCCTGCTTTATCTCTTTGTTTCCCGATGTATCTTCCTCAGCTCTGGCGTACTTCTCAATTCTTGCCATGAGTTCTTCTATGCTTTTTGGCAGTGTTTTTGCCAAAGACTTCCGTAGTGGGCAGTCATCTTTGAGGCCGTTCTTGAAAGATACGACCGCCACTTCTTGGTTGCATTCGGGTATTCGATTGAACACCTCGTAGTATCTCTTCACGTAGGCCCTAAGGCCTTCTTCCTTGGTGATTCTTAAAGCCATCAGGGCGTCGACCCTCAAGGGCTGTAGTTTGTTCGTCACAAACCTGGCCACAAACATCTCGGCCAGGCCTTCCCATGTCTTTACGCTTCCCTTTGGTAGCTTATGGAACCAATCGGATGTAATTTCCCCAAAGGATGAGGGAAATACTTTGCAGAGCAATGGCTCGTTCCCACTGTATAATGCCATTGAGTTCAGGTATAGTCCAACATGAAAGTTGGGATATGATTTTCCATCATAAATTTGGAACCTCGGCATACTGAATCTCTTTGGTGCTTCAAATTTGTCAAGTTCCACCGAGAATGGTGTTCTTGGCTTAACTTTGGAAGTCACATCGGCTTCAGCATTCTGCTGCTTCCTTTTGAAGTAGTCCCTTAAGTCTTCCTTACTCCTACCTGGAGCTCGGCTATCTCTGGACTTCAATCTTTTTGGCACACTGCTTTCGGTCTCGTGGTGGGCCCGTTTCAATCTTTCTCCATGGGTTGTGTCAAAGCAGAGTGCTTGCCCTTGAACATGACGATGTTCTTTGGGTCCTGGATCCTTCATGCGATGTGTCCTTTGGGACTCTTCTTGTCTTGGATCCTCTCGTCCGACTTCCCTGGAACGTCGGTGAGAGTGGCTTCCACTCCTGGTGTGCTAAGGGGCTTTGGGGATTACTTTTCTCCCTCCCTTCTGGGTATTAATTGCTGGCATCGGCGTATCTTGCAGCGGGTATGGTGGCTGCATAACATTGTTTTGCATCATGAAGTTGACCACTGACTGTAGGTCTGCCAGTTTGTTTGCCAAGCCTTTTACTTCCTCATCCCTTCGTAGGCACCTATCCCTCCAAACCTGAAGGTTATCTTCGTTGTAGTACTTACTTTGGTTTGTCCTTTTTGAAGTGTCGCCCTCCTGGCCGACGTCTTTTTCTCCGTGGCCCTGGTCATGATTTTCTGTACTGTGGTTGTCTCCTTCAACGTCAAGGTCGATTAGTCTACCACTCCCAGCAGGAGTTTCGCCCCCAATGTTTCCCCCTTGTCCGTCACTGGCCATCTATTCTTCTAAGATTCCCACAGACGGCGCCAAATTGTGTGGGTAATTTTCTTACCACACTGCCCGCATATTAATCAGCTGGAGAGCACCGGCAGAATAGATGGCTTCAGTAACCTGTAACAGAAAGAAAAAGGCTCCAGCGGTGGCTCTTCCACCCGGGGGCACTCCGACGATCAAGTCAGTATATCTCTCAAAGATAATCAAGTGCTAAACTTACAAGCTTGAGTATATAACTGCGTACCTTAGACCCATGGGGGTGCCTCTCTTTTATAGTTTACTCAATCCAAGTCCTACTAGAAGCCTGACTTCTATGGACTCCAATTTTATACTTACTTTGGACTCTTCAAGAGATAAAGATAAACTCCCTAAGAGCTTTATCCTTTTCTTGGCTAAGTCTCCTCTTTGTCCTAGGACTCTTGTCCCTTATCCGCTTATCTCGGATTCCGATATCTTCGGAGATAACCTCGGCAACTCCGAGATCACCTCGGCGTAACTACCACGACATGTGACACCTCGGTTGATACGTCGGCTTCGCCATGCCACGTGTTGGTATCCAAGAAATATGTCCCCACATCCTTAATTTGTTTTAATTTTGTTTAACGTATAAAATGTGTCCTATGGTGTTTCTGTCAAATGCGGTTTGCCGTAGTCAATAGAATTATGGCTCGTTCAGAAGATCATATTTGTAAAAAATTAAATTGATTTGAATGCATACACACATTTGTACATTACATTTATCTTCAAAATAATAAACATTCTATCATAAAAAATATAATTATTGTCCATTCCTATATACAAATGTGATCTAACCATGTAATTATAGTTGTCCAAACAATTTGATTTTTTTGTAAGGTTGGTATTCTAACATGTTCTTAGATATGAACGACTCATATAATTGAGGTGGCCCCGTGGTGGGCCCACAAAACCCAACAACATCTTCAGTTAATTTTGCCAACTAATGGAAAACGTTACCCTAATTTAATAAATTATTAAGGATTTTTAAGTGTCTTTAGTCTTACTGATTTATCCCTACTCAAATTCTCCATTCAATGTTCATAATATATATATATATATATTTTAAATTTTCTATAGTCCACAATTTTATATTGTTACTCGTGATAATGTGACAATATCACTTTTTGGATGTTATTTCTTAATGAGTGGAGTTTTCTTTAGAAAAAAAAAAGAAAAAAAGATAAGCTATATAAGCCTTAACTATGATATTAAAAATAATTTACAAATAAAATTTAGTTATATATATATATAACTTATAAAAAATTTGGTGGCCGGAATGTTTTACAGTTATGAACTACCACAAGATGGATGCTTTTTTGTTTGAAATAAAAAGACTATGAAATGTCATATTATTTGTATAAAATTTTTTATAATTATTTTATTTTGTTTTATTTTATTTTTGCGTAACATTATCGTAAAAAATGTAGAGCATTCAAAAAAAAGAAACCTAAAGCCTTTTGCTTAGGTGGCTTTATATTAAAGAGGTGAGGGTTGTAGTTGTGATAAAGTGGTGGTAGTGTTAGGATAGCATTGATAGGTGATAGGTGGGTGGTGGTGGCAATGAGTGCTGATGGTAGTAGAGTGCTGGGTATTTTTTACACAAATTAATTCATTTTTCAATGTCTTTCACACAAATTAAGTCACTTTTTGTAATGCTTGTCGTTCTTGTATTTTGATTTTTGAGTAATTTTGGTTCCTATAATTTTAATTGGTTCAATTTTGATTATGAATTAATGATTTTGTCTCAATTTAGATCAATTGATTACAATTATTATCATTTTTTAATAAAAAAATGCGCACATAAGTGACATGTATCATACTTTTAGGTTCACAATTATGAATTTGCTCAACTGAATAAGTTAATCTCGATCAATTCAGTAATCATTTTATGTAAAAATAAAAAATAATAAAAAACACTAAAGGTGTTATTAATTTGACTATATTGACATAAAATCTAAAATTAAATATCAAAATTGAACCAATCAAAACTATAAGAATTAAAATGGCACAAAAGGCAAAATTTAGATGGCAATTGTTAACAGATGTTAGGGGAGAGAGTTGGATGTGTCAAATTTAATTAGAAAAGGCTATCTCCCTATTTAATTTTTGGCTCGATGCACTGCTTACAACAGTTTTTTTTATAATATTAATCGATTTTACATTAATTTTACCTCATTGTCAATTGTTGTTTATGATAAAATGAAAGTTGTTGATATAACATCTAAATTTCAATTTAAATTTTATTTTATCCTCAAATTATCTCCAAAATATCTATTACACTCCTGAATAAAATGAAATTTTGGGTAAAATAATTATGTCACTAACACTAACACAGTTAAGTTTAATGGTCTTGCAGTTTATTTTCAGTGACTGGTTTCCGTACGACTTTGGAAAACTTGCTATCACAGACATAAATGGATCAATAGAGATGTGGCACAACCAACATGACCAAGTGAAATTCATGTTGGTCCAATTTTGCGGGAAATTATCATATGTGATCTCGTGGAATTTAATACAAAGACTACAATATCTACAACGGCTGAAGGTATGGTATTGTGATTCACTGGAAACAATATTTGACCTCCAAGGGTCGGTACGCGTTGGTACTACTGGTGTGGAATCAATCGTTTGCCTAGGAGATTTGAAATTGATGTATTTGCCCAAGTTGATGCATATATGGAAGAATGTTTCCCAACAAACTCATTGTTTCAAATGTCTAAAATCCCTAGAAGTGGAGAGGTGTGACAACTTGAGATATCTATTCACAATTTCCATGGTCAAGGTCCTTGAGTGTCTAAATTATCTAAGAATTGGAAATTGCGAGAAAGTAGAAAAGATTGTCACCAGGGAAGCAGAAAAAGAAGAATTATGGAGCAAAATCAATATTTTGAATGTGGAACTTGAAAATCTTCCAAGTCTCGTGTGTATTGGAATTCCATAATCCCAAATTCATATCTCCGAATTGCGTGTAGATTTCTGCCCCAAGTATCGAGGTAACCAATTATACTTCCACACAAATATGCTTCTTTCATTCTCGTTGTTTTCAAAAACATAGAACTTTCTCAAGAAAGCAGCTTCACTACCCCATATACATATATTTGCCACATCGACATCCCAAAATGGGAGCGGTTTAAGGAAAAAGATTTTCTCTAGCATTTTCTTCATTCGTTCATCATTTAATAGTTTATCCAAAAGCCACAGCTAGTAATAATGATTAATTGTTGAATTGTTTGACGAAGAAAGTGCTGGAGAGAATTCGAATATGCAATTTAGCTGTTGTCATCCATGGTTTGTTTACATCCAGTCGTACTTGTTGGCTTCACTCAACATAAAACATGTGATGATTGAAGCTAACACCTCCAGAGACCACTCTCATTTTGTTTGTCCCACTTACTCAAGAAAGTGACTTCACTGCACTGTACTTGCCACATGGTTATCTAAAATAATAATAGGATAAAAGACAATTTTGTTTTTCATTTTAATCCCTTAAGTTTCAATTTTGACATTTTGGTTATCAAAATTGTCAATTTGAATCAATTTAGTTCTAGGTGTGACGCCCTTCTACGTTGATCACAAGATTATAGATAAAACATAATTTTGGTCCTTAAAGTATACATTTCTTGTCATTTTAGTCCCTTACATTTTAAATTTTGTCATTTTGGTCTTCAAAATTGTCAATATGAGTCGATTTCGTCCTAGTTTAAATTGACGACTTTGAGGATCAAAATGACAACATTTTAAACTTGAGGGACTAAAATAACAAAAAGACACATACTTTAGGAACCAAAACTATCTTTTACCCAAGTATAAAATATTTTTTCTGTTATCAATGTAAATAGACGTTAGAGAACTAAATTGACTCAAATTGATAACTAAGGACTAAAGTGATAAAATTAGAACTTGAGGGATTAAAATGATAGAATGCATACTTTAAGGACTAAAACCATCTTTTAATAATAATAATAATAAGAAGAAGAAAAACGGAGACAAATAAATTGGTCCTATATGCATTTGTGAATATAAATCTTATTATTTTGTTTCTAGGAATGATAAAAAGAGGTAAGAAATGAAATTACATATTGCATTGCTCTAATAATAATAATAAGATCTCCAAAAGTACTTATCCTTAATAAACTGTGTGCGTGTTTTTAATCTTAAGATTTAAGATATAATTATTGTCTCCAACAATTTGTATGTTTCAGATATTAATAGTATATCCTCCTGCTTTTGAGCATTGTCTATACACTAATTTCTTGACAACGTCACAACGTGATTGTCTCTAATATAGTATTGGTTAGCAATAGATTAATTCATTAGCTTATGCTTTGTTTGGATATTTTGAAACGAAAAGTTTAAAAAATAAAAATTAACCTATATTTCATTCCTATTATTCTCACATTTTTCCTTTTTCTTTTCAAATCTTTACTCAAATTCGTGATTTAAAAGCAGATCATGATTTTGGGTAGAAATTTAGAAAGAAAAAGAAAAAAAAGTGAGTGAAATATGAATGAAAATTTAAGTTAATTTTTTTTTTTTTCTCTATTTTCATTTACCTGTTCTATTTTCTCTCTATCCAAATTTATTAGTCAAACATAATGCAATCTTTTTTTTTTTTTGGCCAATAGGTAAAAGGCTAATTACAAATTACAAATCTATCTATCTGTCAATAGGATTATATAAGCAAACATACTGTGTGGTGATTGATGCTTAAAGTCTCAATCTATTTAATGCTAGGGATCATGAAAAAAATATTATGAAGATGATCATAAAAAATTCTTTTCCTTTGAATCACACATACAATAAAACACCACACGCTAATTGGCCAATAGGTAAAAGGCTAATTACAAATTACAAATCTACCTATTTGTCAATAGGATTATATAAGCAAACATACCGTGTGGTGATTGATGCTCAAAGTCTCAATTTATTTAATGATAGGGATCATGAAAAAAATATCATGAAGATGATCATAAAAAATTCTTTTCCTTTGAATTACACATACAATAAAATACTACACGCTAATCAAAAGATGAAAAATCTTCATGATACATTTCATGATATTTTTTTTCATAATACCTAATATTATTCATTTTTAAAAAGTTGAGTCCTTAGATAATTTTTTTTTTCTTTTTCTTGTAAGTCATAGGTGACAATTTCAATAACTTAATAATTGAGTGATCTTTAATAAATGATATTCGAAAGGAGAGGTGATGTTGACAATAATGATGAATCAAGTTGATAGCTATATTTTTAGTTTTAGTAATCATTTGATACTTGCCATATGCAGGTTTTGATGTGGAAGGGGAGTAATATTTACCATTTGCTGCGGTGCATCGCCAATCTCTTTACAGAAAAGGCATGCATTATTGCTACACACACAAATAATAATAATAATAATAATAATAATAAAGTAAAAGCAAAAAAATTATTACACCAATTGCCTCTTCATCTTGTTGATAAATATATTGTGAGTATATCTATTTATGCTCATATCCTTTAATTTTTAGTGTATATATTTATATTTTGTTTGAGGCGTTCCAAATAATATTTTCTTGGGTGAATTATATTAATAATCCTTGTATTTAGGTTATTGTGTCATTTTAGTCTTTATAATTTCAACTAATTGGATTTTTATCCAGAATTTATGATTTTGTCTTAATTTGGTCCAATTGATTATAATTGCTAACATATCTTTTAATGAAAAATTTGTAAATGAAAGACATGTGTCTAGCTTTTAGGGTGAAATTGTAAACTAGATTAACCTAGTAAGTTAACATCAACCAACTCAATGATAATTCTCCTTTAAAAAAAACCCTAATGACGTAATCAATTGAACCAAATTGACCACAAAAAAAAAATAATAATAATAATAATTAAAGATAAAAATTGAGCCAATTAAAAGTGTATCTAAAATGACGCAAGGGACAAAATGTAGAGACTATTAGTATAATTCACCCTATTTTAGTTTCAAAATCTAAACACTCTGCTAAACTATTTCATTGTGTGAAGTAAAGAGTTGTATTTTTTGTTCTTTGGTTGTTTACAAAATTCGTTTGTGTGAATTAGAGAAATAGTTTTTTTTAATTTATCAACAAAGAAAAAAAATTGTATTAAAGAGAGAAATTTCCTCTACAAACTATCCAATTCTACTAAAATTGCTTGAGGGATCTTGAACAAGGATAAATTAGTAGACTGTTAGGTTGGCCAAAGTTTAGACATAATTCATCAATTTTTATTTTCATATAGTACAATTTTCATGTTACTATATACATAATTCATTTCATTGGCCAGGTACGTTCAAAATAAATTGATCTTATAGTAAATACAAGAGTTTAATATTATTCTCTAATGTAGGTTTATCTTGTTCAACTTTATTTTGATGATTTAATTATCACAAATAATTCTTTAACCAATATGTCTCTACTAGTTATTTCTTTCTTTCTTCCCCAACATCCTAGCATCACCACCACAACCACTATCACTACAGCACACCTTGACTATTATTAACCATTATTTCAAAGTTCTAACTAAATATTGGAGATTTCCAATTGGTCATAGAAGTTATTTTGGAAAATACAGAAAAATTTCTTTCTCTAGCATGAGAGCTCTCTCTGCCTTATGGTAGCTGTGTAGGGTTTTTCCCTTGGTATCTTTTTACTAGTCCCTTATTTCTCTATTCTGTGGATGCTCTGTCGCGCTTGGAGGTGTTTCGTTTGGAGTATGGAGGCTTTTGAGCTGCCGGAGGTCACGGATGAATGTGAGGATGTTTCTCTACGGTGCCTGGTGGGGAAGATCCTAGCCCCAAAAATCCTGAACAAACCAGCTGTAGCTAATATCCTTTTTGCTGCTTGGAAATCTCGTGCTGGTGTTGTTGTTACCCCTTGGAAGGAGAACATCTTCCTTTTCCAGTTTCAAGATTTGGAGGATCGTACGAGGGTGCTACATGAAGCTCCTTGGTCTGTTATGGGGGCACTTGTTAGTTCTCCTGCCTCTCCCACTCGGGAAGGCCATTGATGAGTTGGATTTTCGGTGGACCCCTTTTTGGGTTCAAGTCCATGGTCTCCCTTTAGCCAAAATGACTCGAGCTCATGGGGAAGTTATCGGCAGTCGGATTGGCCGGTTAATGGAGGTTGAAGCTCCATCGGATGGATTGCTCATTCACCGTAGTTTTCTGAGACTACGCGTTAAAGTGGATGTCACTAAGCCACTGCTACAGGGGTTCATTTTGTATCGACGTGATAGTACGAGACCCGTCGGTGAGGGGCTCAAGGTCTACTACAAGTATGAAAAATTGTCTGAGTTCTGTTATGATTGCGGTCGTATTGGGCACGATAAGATAACCTGCAAATTTGTCTCCAGGGAGGAGGGTCTCCAGTCTAACTATGGTCCAAATTTACGAACAGGGCCTGTGAGAAGCTTGCATCTGATCCATAGCTCGCCGCGAAATCCTACGGCGGATGTGGATACGGGAAGTGATATGCCGGTATCCCCTTTGAACATTCCAACTAGTTGCACGGTGGCGCATCGGCAAGGGGTAGCAGGGACCAAGGACAGTGGGACAGCAATGCCCACCTCTCACCAGCTGGCAGCACTTGCGGAGGTACGATCTGTACGATCCAGTGTAGTGGAATTGGAGGCTTCAGAGCCGTTACAGTCTGAGTGTCCACGCCCATGCTCGCCTGTTCCTTCTCAGGCCCCATCCCCTGATTTGGGTCCTCCTATGCGTGAGTCAGGCTTACTGAGTGGGCCTCCTCCTCATTGCACCTTGATGGATGGGCCCCCTAATGTGGTAGGCGCGACCCAAACTCATTTTACTCCATCTTCCGAACAGTATGAGGTACCGTGCTCCGCCCCTTATTTTGTCACTGAACCTTCTGAAGTTATCCTACCCGTTTCCCAGCCCACAGATTCTCTGGACCCTCTTTCTATTCGTGTGCAAGAACTCAGCCCAAGTGCTAGTCCTGTTAGGCCTGGGCCTCCAGCTTTACTTTCTGAATTGTGCCTCTCTAAAGTGTTTAACTGCCTTTCCTTGAAAAGGCCTCATAGTGACGACGACATGTACGAGTCAGTGGTCAAGAAAAAACTGAAGGGGAATCTCTTGGAGCTAGATAATGTTTCTACTGAGTCCAAGGCCTTAAGTGTTGTTGACTCCAAACCTCCAGCACGGGTTTTGGCCAGGCGAGCAAAATGCCAGAGGAAGACTTCTCTTGTGGAAATTCAAGTCCAGCTGTTAGAGGCCGATGCCAATTCAATCTCAGGGGGTACTGGTCCAGTCAGGATTACTTCTTTGGACGCTACGAGTTGTTGTCCTCGGTATGGTATGTCTCCGAATACGGCGGCCAGCGGGGTGGATAGTTCTGCTAATTCTGAAAGGGTGATGGTGGCTGACCCTGAACAGCCACAGGCCTCATGCTAATTATCAGTTGGAACTGTCAGGGGTTAGGTCGTCCCCTGACAGTCCAGGTATTACGAGGGTTATGCACAACCCATCGGCCTTCGGTGATCTTTTTAATGGAGACAAAGAATAAGAGAGCTAAGCTGGATTGTATAATACGAAATCTTAATTTTCCAAATAGTTGTTACGTGGATCCTTTAGGCACTTCCGGTGGACTCGCCCTTTGGTGGGTGGATGGAGTTGATTTGGATGTCTGCTCTAAATCTCAAAATATCCTCAGGTGCATTATTTCTCCTTCCGTCGGTAGGAGTTGGGCTGCCTCTTTTATTTACGCCCCTCCTCGTAGGCGGGAAAGAAGGGCATTTTGGCAGTACTTAAGGGGTGTGGCACAGGAAATGCATTATCCATGGCTTTGTGTTGGCGATTTTAATTAAGTGAGCTCCATTTTCGAAAAGCAAGGAGGGCGGGAATGTTATGCTTCTCAGATTCGGGACTTTCAAGAACTGATTTCAAATTGTAGCCTGATTGATTTGGGCTTTAAGGGGCACGCTTTTACTTGGACTAACCAGCAGGGGGGCGAGGCCAATGTTAGAGAACGTCTGGATAGAGCTTTAGCCTCGGTTGACTGGCAGGAGCTTTTTCCGAATGCACAAGTGCTTCATGAAATTTGTTTTGGTTCGGACCATTGTCCTTTGGTTATTAATTGTTGTGTTCCGTTGGCCCGGGTCCCGCACCAATTCAAATTTGAGTCGCTTTGGACCACTAGTCCGGGTTGTGCGACAACTATTCAATCAGAATGGGTCAGGGATCATGGTGGGTCTCACATGTTCCAACTTGTTCAAAAACTGAAACATAGTCAAAGGCGATTATGGGATTGGAGCTCCAAGGAATTTGGCAATGGCAAGCGGCATATTGCCTCACTTAGGGGGCAAATAGCTCAGTTACAGAGTCAACCTTACTTTTCGGGTAAAGAAGCTCAATATAAGCAGTTAGCCCATGAGCTAGAAATGGCCATGCAGAGGGAGGAAATGTATTTACATCAGCGATCTCGGGTTCGTTGGCTCAATTTTGGAGATCGGAATTCTGCTTTTTTCCATGCTACAATTAAGCAACGCCGCCAGCGGAATCAGATTCTGCAACTGAAATGTGAAGATGGTACTCTTCTCACTTCAGAGTCCGACATTAACTCCCATTTGTTCTCCTATTTTTCGACTCTTTTTTTTGGTGGTGGGCATGGGGATATGAACATAGCTCTCGATGTGGTTTCTACTGTTATCTCCCCCGAAATGAATGCGCGGCTGATTAAAGAAGTCATGGACGAGGAGGTTAAAACGGCGACCTTTCAACTTGGTTCACTGAAAGCACCTGGACCGGATGGCTACCCAGGATTCTTTTACCATCAACATTGGGATACTGTGGGACCATCGCTTTGTGCGGCGGTTAAAAAAATTTTTCGGGGGGGTTTTTGTTGAAAGAGATGAATCATACCAATTTGGTCCTCATCCCTAAAGTTCCGGCGCCAGAAACCTTATCCCAGTTTAGGCTAATTAGTCTTTGCAATTTTAACATCAAGGTGATCACCAAAATCCTTGCCAATCGGTTGAAAGGGGTTCTCAATGCAGTGGTCTTGCCAAATCAGTCGGCGTTTGTGGTAGGGCGAATGATTCAGGACAATATTCTTGTAGCCCATGAGGCTTTCCATGCTTTGAAAATTCGTAAAGGGAAGGTGGAGGATGTGGCGATTAAAGTGGATTTCCATAAAGCTTATGACCGAGTCGATTGGAGTTTTCTTCGGGCCTTGCTTTGCAAGATGGGTTTTCACCCTCAATGGATTCAATGGGTGATGGAATGTGTCACCACCGTATCTTTTTCGGTGATTGTAAATCGGTGATTGTAAATGGGGCCAAGCAGACTAGTTTTAAACCTTTGCAGGGTCTTCGCCAAGGGGACCCTCTTTCCCCATATTTGTTTATTCTCGTTATGGATGTTCTCTCAAAATTGATTGATCGTAGTATTGCTGTTGGGCGTTTGTCCGGATTGAGAATTAAACGGGGCTGCCCTAAGTTGTCTCATTTGTTCTTTGCCGACGATGCAGTGCTTTTTGTTAAGGCTAAGCGAATGGAGTGCTTAGAAATCTGTAATTTGTTATATACCTATGGCCAAGGAACGGGGCAGTCGGTTAATTTTGATAAATCGGGTGTGCTTTTCTCGGGTAATGTCTCTTGATTGCACCGGAGGGAGGTGTGTGGCTTCCTTGGTATCCCGCCGATGCAAGCAAATGCTAGATACTTGGGCCTCCCGTCGTGTTGGGGTCGTTTCAAAGCTGAAGCCTACAGTTTCTTGTGTGAGAAGATGCTGTCCAAATTGCAAGGATGGAAGGCCAAACTTCTCTCCCACGCTGGCAGGGAAGTCCTCATTAAATCGGTTGCCCAAGCACTACCCACCTATGCCATGGCCTGCTTTCTGTTTCCAAACAAATTGTGTGATAAGTTGAGTTCCTATATTCGAAATTTTTGGTGGAAAGGTGATCCGGAGGGGCGCGGTATTCATTGGGCTAGCTGGAATAAACTCTGTTTGTCAAAGCGTAATGGAGGCTTGGGTTTTCGGGATTTTCGGGCCTTCAACCGCGCTCTCCTTGCTCGTCAAGGCTGGAGATTAATTAAATACCCGAATTCCTTATGTGCAAAAATTATTAAAGGAATTTACTATCCCAATTCTGACTTCAGTCATGCTACGTGTGGGGTACGCCCTTCTTGGGCTTGGCTTAGTTTGCTTCAGGGGCAGAATATTCTCAACGGTGGACTGCGGTGGCAAGTTTTGAATGGTAAGTCTATCAATTTCTGGGATGATCAGTGGATTCCCTCTACTCCGGGCTTTCGCGTTCAATCTGCTAAGCCTCGAGGGGTGTTGGTACAAAAGGTGCATGAAGTCATGGATCCTTCCCACAAGTTGTGGAATGACAGGCAGCTTAGAAGCCTAGTTTCTGGGGCTGATTGTGATGCTATTCTCTCTATTCCGGTCTCTGTTACAGATAAAGATGACACCCTTCTTTGGCATTATGATTCCAAGGGCTATTATACGGTTAAGTCAGGGTACTGCGAGGCCGTGAACCAAGCGCACTTGGCCTCCACTATTCCTTCTTCTTCCATTGTGTGGTCTGAAAAAGAGTGGCTGCTTGTTTAGAACCTGAATTTACCTCCAAAACTTAAGCATTTCCTCTGGAAAATTTATCATAATGCTTTGGCTACTTATTAGAACCTCTCTTCTCGCCGGTGTGTAGTTTCGGCTTGCTGCCCAGTGTGCTTCTCAGCTTCAGAATCTATTGAGCACCTCTTGTTTGACTGCGAATGGTCTAGACGAGTTTGGTTTGGGTGTGATCTTGGCCTTAGATGCGATAATCGGGACAGCTTTTCGGCTCGAGAATGGTTTGGGACATGTTTTGAGACTCTGGGTACTTCTACATGGGGAAAATCGGTGTTATGTTCTATGGTGTGGGTTGCTTGGACAATTTGGAAAGGAAGAAATGATCATTTGTTTAACCACCACCAGGTTGACCCATTAGGGGTGATCGCGAAAGCAAAGCGGGATGAAGCGGAATTTCTGGCCTCCTGTCGAGCGACCCTTACTCCGCAGATTGGAGCATCAGGGATGAATAGCGGCTGCTCTTCCTGGTTTCCTCCTCCCCGCGGCTTATGGAAATTTAATTGTGATGCTGCTGTGGATTTGAAGCACGGTATGGGCACAGTTGCTGTCCTTCTTCGCGACCATACAGGCCAACTGGTGGATGGTATGGTGAGGATGACCCGATTGCGGTCTGTTGCCCAGTGTGAATTACTAGCAATTCGGCATGCTTGTTTCATGGCAGATGCTCTTAATCTCACTACAGCGGAAATTGAAAGTGATTGTAAATCCGTTATTCAGTTGTGTGTGTCTGAAGGGGTCCCTCCCTGGGAGCTCCTAGCCTTAATTTGTGATATTCGGTCGTTGGCCTCGCACAGGTCACTTGTTTTTAGATGGTGCCCTCGACAAGCCAATAGGGCAGCCCACTGGGTCGCTTCGGCGTTTTTCAGAAACTCCTTACCCCTGAATTGGGTTACCCAACCACCTATGGGTCTTGTTAGGTGCTTATTTCCCACTTCTATATAATGTGGTGCTGATTTTCACGATAAAAAAAAAAAAAAAACTAAATATTGGAGAATATTTTCTATGTATTACATTTTTTAAAACAAAAAAATATTTTTCACATTGCACCCATTAGACACAAGCACATTGAATGTAATAGCTTTTAGCTAGTCTTTAATGTCTTTCATTTTCAAAATTTGATTGCAGGTGATTTATTGGGTATGCTTTTCTTAATAAAGAAGTTGGAGAAATAGATATTGGCCCTATTTATGAAGAAACCAAGGCTACAAGGTGTTCTTATATATGAAGAATTGTTTAGTTGTTGGGATTACATTTTATCTATTGTTGGGTTTGTATAAATTACGTTTCATCTCATTGGTCGGGTTGATTGTGCTGGCATAGCTTTCTCTGTTGTGGTATAATTGGATTGACTTTATCATAAACCATGTAATAATTTGTGTGTGAATTTGATAAGTGTGCTTTGTGTCACAGTTTTTAACTCTGACCTTAAGTTCTTAGTCTCAGTTTTTATAATAAAAAAAGCGTGATGTGAGTGTGACTATTTGTCTGTAAAAGATCTTGCTTTTTATGAGAAAGCGTGATTGTTTATTGGGTGCAAATGAAAATCTGTGGGTGCAAGCGTGATTGATAATATTTTTCCCCAATTCCTAGCTGCATATATAGTTCCCTCATTGTTTAAAGTTACAATCTCACTTTTTAATAGAAAAGCACAACTATTTTTAACTTACTATCTCACATTTTATAAAAGCGTGATATATACTATTACATATCTCTTGCTAAAAATCTGATTTTTTTTTAATTGAGATGATTTATAGAACTCATTTCTTTTCCTATAAATTTTATTTACTACTTCTTCAATCAAACAAATGCATTAGACAAGAGTAACTCCAATGAAACAAATACATTAAATAAGAATAGCTTAAATCAAAAAAATTAAAAACAATACATTTTCAACTTTACCATTCAAGAGTCTCACTAAATCCAGTATCAATACTACAGTCACAACTACCACAACCATCATCAGCATGTGCACAATAGCGATTCAACTCAACCAACTTCCCATCAGTTTTGGATTGAATCAAACGGTGAACACAGTTGTCTCCGACATAGTCTTCAGCACCAGCTTTGGCTTCCCACAGACACAGATTATTAGTGTTCTTAGTTTTGTATTCTAGAATGGGGCACATCATATACTGCAAAAAATTTATTTCTGAAATAATCGAAAAAACAATATTCTCATCCTCACAGCAGCACAGAGAAGAAAGAATAAAAAGTGCTTCCATACAAATGTAACAAAACAATTGTCATTACCATCCATTTGGTTGATGAGAAAATATAGGCAAACCATTGAAATCAATAGCATTAAGGGCGTGAAAGAAACAAAAATGATGACAGATAAACCAAAAGTCTAATGTAGAATTGCTTCGGCTTATACAATCTGAAATCAATAGATTTGTAATGAATGTATTATTACAGTTGAATATGACTGGGAAAAGCATATTCCATGTTTGCATGAAGGTCCCACCATGGCGGCGTAATTTGTTATGCCATTGAATTTCAGAGTGAAGTAAATTGTACCTGAAACCTATGAAACTCTACAAGTCGTTCATCATCCCATATCAGTATCAGGAGAAACAAGTCCTTCATATTCCAGCTGCACAATACAAAGTGAATATGGTCAAGTGATCAACATATTCAATTGTAACCAAGAAGTTCAGAAAGAAAAAAAAAAATTAAATTCTATTACCCTTCTAGATTTAATTCAATTAAATGATGGTTGAATCCCAACCATGAGATTGGTATTGCCAGCTGCACTTTTCCAAAAAAGGGGTAGGCATCAAGCCAGCTCAACCTGACAAAGTTTTCATCAAATTAGAACTGAACATTGTCTGGAAGAAGATAAATAAAGATCAACGATCAAGAATGCAATCCAGTTCAATGGTGGGCCGAGTTTTCAAGAAGCCGCTTACAATTCAACAAGCTTAGCTTCAAGATTTCTTATCTAATCTTATCTTCTTCTCTCTCACCCTGTATTAAAGGGCAATCTCAAGAAACGAAGTAGCTTGGCCTGTTGATCCTGCACGCCCAGTCATTCTGATTTGGTGTACATAGTCTGTGAGAATATGCCTATTCAGTGTTTCCTTTTAGGATTAGGACTTAGTGTTCTATATTGTAACGCCTCAAATTTCTAGCCCAAATGATAATATAACAATTATGGCTCTTTCAAGGAACACCGAATATAAATCTCCAAACTTACATTACACGATAAATAGTTCTTCATACAACAATACATTAATCCAACAACAAATAAATACGCCCAAGGGTTTACAAGTTTCTAAGGCTTGAGTCTGGTTACACAAAACAGTTATTCAAACCCACACACATACAGCCATTGGCTTACACACAGAGTCACAGTAAAATGAGAGCATTGTACTCCCAACACACATACTTCCACGCCCCTAGTTGGGTGGAATCACCACATCTTTTCCCGCACAAAAATCCCGTAGGGTGAGCATAAAACCCACAAGGAAATTCTTAACAAAGTATGTACATTTTATACAAGTCTCAAGAAATGAAATGCACATGCCATGTTATGCCTTTTTTGAAGATAAATCACATTTTCATCTTTTGAAAACCATCATGCTCAATGGTATCATGCAATTTCAATTGTTCAAAACTTAACAATTTATTTCAAGGGCGGTAAATTCGACTCTAGTAATCCCTAAGTCGGCACTACTACAAAAATAGTTAAAGATCACACTTTGACAAAAAAAAAATATTTCACTTTTATTGAAAGTGTGATAAAAAAAATTAGATTGATATTTTAATCACACTTAATTTGATTGAGTGTGATAATATTTATAGAGCAGGAAAGATTTGTTAAACCTTTAATGGATGAAAT